GTGAGAGGTGGGCCCGCCTGTGCCCTGTGTGTACCGCGGTGAGAGTGCCCTGTGTGTACCGAGGTGAGAGGTGGGCCCGCCTGTACCTCGTGTGTACCTCGGTGAGAGGTGGGCCCGCCTGTGCCCTGTGTGTACCGCGGTGAGAGGTGGGCCCGCCTGTGCCCTGTGTGTACCGCGGTGAGAGTGCCCTGTGTGTACCGAGGTGAGAGGTGGGCCCGCCTGTGCCTCGTGTGTATCACGGTGAGAGGTGGGCCCACCTGTGCCCTGTGTGTACTGCAGTGAGAGGTGGGCCCACCTGAGGGCTGCAGCACTCCCCGGCCGCAGGCTGAGGGCTGCCCCTGAACATCGGACAGAGATCTGTTTATGACCCCTGACTTCCACTTGTCACACAAATGCACAGCGCTGATTCTGGAAATGCTATCAGATAATGTCCTGCAGTACCATTTTAAAGTTATCAGGTTTTCTTAAAATCATTCCAGAGATTTAAAAAAGAATCAATGTATCCTATCAATCATAATTTCTTTCTATAATTATGTAAATTGCCTCAGGATTCACATGGGTACTTGAAATTTGAAGACAAGATAATTTACAAAACCTTAATTTTACTAATTACCATTTAAGTATACTATAAAGCTTGTTACTTGATAAAGAAATAGTAGATGGAATGGGAATAAAAGACAAATGGATAAATCAAGGTTAAAAATGCATATTTGGTCTGTAGTTCTCAGCTACTCGGGAGGCCAAAGCAAGAGAATCGCCTAAGCCCAGGACTTGGAGGTTGCTGTGAGCTGTGACGCCATAGCACTCTACCGAGGGTGACAAAGTGAGACTCTGTCTCAAACAAACAAACAAACAAAAATGCATATTGATAAAAACTTTATTCTATGAGAGTTTAATGTAACCAAAAAAGCCTCGTTCCCCATCAAGCAGGATGTGGTTCTGCCTGCATGAAGGCAGCTTGGTCATGTTTCCCATTGTGTTAGGAATTTTAGAAAGAGTAGTGGTTAAGAAAGCCCCTAGGGGTAATATCTGAGGTCTTCAAAACTCTTGATTCCTCTCAATTTTCATTTGCAAGAAAAACAAATCACCATTTTCACTGAAGGATATCAAACTTTATAGAATTGAGAATCTGATTTCTATATATATCTTGGATAAGCAATTCCAAATGTAATTATGGCAATGCAAATTCATTGCAAGAATCACTTATTTTGTTGTTTGTTTGTTTTTAATGAAAATTCCCATCAATTTCCACTGGAAGTTCTACTCACCGATAGGATTATAAACCATTTCGAATGTCACCAAGCCACTGACAGACCCATGTAAATCATGGCTTGGTTAGAGAGGTTAAAAACAGTCGTAAAACATTTTCAAGCTCACCGTGTTATACATTTAATTGTTCTCTTATCACAAATTGTCAGAGCACAACTTGTCTTCCACATAAACAATTAAGACACACCTCCCTCCCACATACTCAGCACACTCAAATCTACATGTGGAATTTTCAGAACAAATGGATTTTGCAACCACCAAACATTTAACCATTCCAAACCCAAAGATTTTCACTAGCATTCCTCATAGCTGAATCTGTTAAGCACTGAGTAAAAGTAACTAAAGTTTTGCACTAACAGCATCCATTCCTTAGTCTGATTTTTACTAATTCTAATTTTTGCAGAACATAATTCCTTTTGTCTTTGAAGCTAAGCTTATGCATAGAATATACAGTACACCTATGCATGTCATTAGCTCAGCTAAAACAATGTCAAAATGAACACAGCTATTCCATGTTTAGAAGAAAAACAAATTTTTTGAGACAGTGTCTTACTCTGTCACCCTGGTAGAGTGCTGTGGCATCATCATAGCTTGCAGCAACCTTAAACTCCTGGCGTCAAGCTTTGCGAGATGCCTGCCAGGATGCCTGGCTAGTCTTCCTATTTTTAGTAGAGATGGGGCCCCCCACTCTTGCTCAGGGTGGTCTCCAACTCCTGAGCTCAAGATCCTCCTGTCTCAGCCTCCTAGGTAGCTGGGACGACAGGTGCCCACCACCATCCCTGGTTAGTTTTTCTATTTTTAGTAGAGACAGGTTTTCACTCTTGCTCAGGCTGGTTTCAAACTCCTGGGCTTAGGCAATCCTGCCGCCTCGGCCTCCCAGAGTGCTGGGAGTATAGGCATGAGTCACCGCACCCAGCAAGTTTTAATTTTGGAACTATTTTAACGTTTGACTTTAAAATTTAACATTAAAAATTCTGCCCCATAATAATGTTAACGAGAATTTTTCTCAATTATTCTCTACCAAACAAACAAACAAATCAGCTAACTCTGTAAAGAGCAAGTTGGGCGTACATTACATGCGGCCATAGTTCAGGGTTCACACAAAAAGTCTACTGCTGTCAAAGTATTTGGCAATCAACATACCCACTGTGTTAAGTACGTGGAATAAATGCCTTTGTCATTTTACTATTTGTAACAAGCTGACATCAAGCAAAAGACTTTCTTTTTTTTTTGAGACAGAGCCTCAAGCTGTCCCCCTGGGTAGAGTGCTGTGGCATTACAGCTCACAGCAACCTCCAACTCCTGGGCTCAAGCGAGTCTCCTGCCTCCACCTCCCAAGTAGCTGGGACCACAGGTGCCCGCCACAACACCCGGCTATTTTTTGGTTGCAGCTGTCATTGTTGTTTGGCGGGTCCGGGCTGGGGATTCGAACCCACCACCTTAGGTGTACGTGGCTGGCGCCTTAGCCGGTTGAGCTATAGGCGCCGAGCCAAGCAAAAGACTTTCTGAAGAGCTTCTGTGAGAGGCCAGAGCCTACGTTGCCTGTAACCCTCTCGCCAGAGCGAGGAAGCAGGTGAACACTGGGTAGGTGTTGGAGACCCAGGCCGCAGAACACAGAAAAGCCCTCCTCTTAGCAGGGAGGCCAGGAAAGCAATCGTTTTGCAAGATTAACGACATACCCTATCCAGTTTCAACAGGCATGAGTTCACCAGCAGAAGTGATTAAAACTGATCCTGCTGGACAGCAAATTAGCCTGGTAAGTAAAATGTCTGTAATTTTGTCCCCCAGTGAAAAGGTGGAAGCATCTTTCTGAGGTCAGGGTCTCATTACCCACAGCAGACCTCACACTGGCAAATGGAAGTGTGAAAAGAGACACATCTAAACGCGGCTTTGAACTTGAAGCCAGGGAAGGTGCGCCAACCAAGAGCGCCTAACTTCACAAAGTGCTCAACGGCTGAGCAGCTCTGAGCGAGGTCTGTGGAGCAGGTCGGATCCCACGAGGGATTAAAGGCAGAAACTGAGAGAAGCATCCAGAAGGAGCAACTTGACAAAGCAATGTTGGCATTTGCTAAAGCTGAAAACCCCCAATCTTGTATTTTGTGGATCTCTCTTCTTTCTCATTTCATTTTTCTAGTAATCGGTTTCTACTGTATTTTTACAAGACGTATTGATCCACGGTGAATTAGAATCTTAGGGAAAAGAAGTCTTCTAGTTGGTTGAGCCCCGCGTGAACTGTGTGTGTCTAAAGCTTGCAAGGACACTGATTTACCTACAGCCACCTCGGAAATGAGTTGAACGGTAAGATTTTTCAGAAGCAGGTAATTTTGCCTGTGTGTAATACATTAAGCTCCTCTGATTAACATCAAAATTAATGAGGCCCAATGAGATATCATATAATCAAAACTGTTCCCAGGAACTGAGATAATAATTAACACGATTCCCTTGAAAAGAGAGAGTCCCGAGGTCAAAAGAGTTTGGGACAAACCCTCCATCCCACAGCCCCTCCTGGGGAGGCATAATAGACATCGGCAGGAAGGCTTCTGGGAAGGCTGGTGATAAAGAAATGTGTTAATAACACAAATGTGACCCTCTTTATCTAAACTATTCACGTCTTAATCAGGAAATACAATTTCTGAAATGCTGATATAGTCAAAAGACTCCAGATGAGCAATAAAAATACCTTACAGTCTGTTCCTTTTCTTCGTGTATAAAGTGATCACTCCACCCACCCACCATCCGTGCTGAGCCACTAGCTACACTTCCCACAGCAGGTAAAGCTACTCCAGGGCAAAGAACTGGCTCCCACACACACACACCCCGTAGCCCAACACACATGGAGCCCTGGGAACAGTTCCTAAGCTAGGAAATGTTCCAGACTGTCTCCTCAACCCCCACACACCCAGGATGGCCAATTCCAGTTGGCCCACTCCTCCAGAATTCCGAGTCTTGGGAGCCCTCCCTACTCTGGCAGGAATGTGTGGCAGGCACCTGCCCACCTTCCATGGAAATGCAGCTGGGACCCAGAATAGAGTCCAGGGAACACCTTGCACTTGGCAAAAACTCCAGCTGCTGATGGGCTCCCTAGGCCACAGCCTCAGGGCAGACGTGTGTATTTGTCTACCAAGCTGTGGGGCTTGGGGAGGGTGGGATCAGGGCAGTGCAGGTGCCTGTGACCACGGCCGTCTCCCATCCTCCGCCACCTCCCACGCAGCCACATGGTACCCAGGTACTCATAACGACCCGCTGAGCTGGATGGATACCACGTTCATCTTAGTGAAAGGACAATCTAAACACAAATAGTATCACAACATTTTTTAAAAAGCAGTATAACAAAGAATCATGTCAGGCTCAACACCACCTTCTTCCCACTTGATGCCACAATCTGGCTCCTATTCAACCTCAGCTCCCCGTTCCAACAATCAATAATGACACAATTTCCCTGATACAGCTGCGATTTTCACCTTCTATGGCTCCTCTGTTTGCTTCAAAGGCAGCACCCAGAATTTGAGTGACTTCTGCAAGGTCATGTGGTCAGCGAAATGTAGGACAAGGAATTGGTTTTTTACATACTCTTCTAACCACCAAACCACGAGGTCTTTGTTAAGGTCAAAATTATCATGAAACATTATTTACAGAGCACACACGAGCTCAGCCCTGCAGCTGTTACAAACACAAGCCACAACTTAAAACAATAAAAAATAGAAAGATAAGGAGCCCCTCGTTTTACTTACTGGTCACGTAAACATTAAATGCTATGGAAGCATTGACGTCAGAATTGGACACTAGAAATGTGTAAGTGCCTCCTTCGGTCCCTTTTAATCTGGTTAAGTGAAGTTCACTGACATATCTACAAAGAAAGGACAACACATCAATCACCCGTGGGTGGCTGCCTCGGAGGGCATGTCTTCCTCACTGTTTCTACCTGGACATACGTGCCTCTTTGGGGAAACATGCAACCCATTTAATTCCGTATTAATAAAATCTACAATAATAAACACAAACACACACACACACACACATATTCCATTTGGGACAAAAACCTGATGTGTGAGCCACTAAGTGAGGAAAGACAACCTCACAGAAACTACGGCCTCTGCCTCCACCCACGGTGCTGTGTTCCACTTCCCTCCTGCTTGTGTCCTCAAGCCGCCCGCCTGCACCCACATGTCCACTGCCTTCCTGCAGATACTTCCAGGCACCCTGAGCAAGGTCTACACTGCTGCCCTCACCTTCCTTCATCTTTTTTTTTTTTTTTTTAAGGTAGAGTCTCACTGCGTTGCTGGAGGACCATGCTGTCACAGCTCACAGCAACCTCAAATGCCTCGGCTAAAGTAATCTTCCTGCCTCAGCTTCCTGAGTAGCTGGGACTACAGGTACTCACCACGACATCCGGCCAATTTTTCTATTTTTAGTAGAGACAGGGGTCTCAATTTTGCTTAGGGTGGTCTTGAACTCCTGAGCTCAAGTGATCCTCCTGCCTCGGCCTCCCAGAGTGCCCTTCTTGAAACACCTCTCCTGGTTAGCACCCCTGAAACTTCTTCCCATTTCTGCTGTAGCATTGGCTATACACTGAGTACTCTACAGCCCTCAGGGCAGCTACAGGCAGGGGCTCCGATGTGCACATGTCAGCCCACCCTCCCCGGGCAGCCCAAGATCCACAGGATGCACATGACTTTCCCACAAGCTCCACATCCAGCCCGCCACGCGCAGTGGCCTTACACAGATTTTCACCTGCCTGAGCTCCCTGTGGCCGGCTCTACAGCCGTCTCACCACTTTCAAATCTTCACCTTTAGCACTTGATTCTATGTCCTATCTTTCCCATGTAGAGCTATTATCCTGCCCCCAAATCCTGGTCAGTTAATAATGACTCTCCCTGTAACCTTCTCCCAAGGGTTGCCCATAGGGGCTAAGACCCACTTGGAAGTTGATAGCCTAACCAGGTCTACACCCAGCAAGCCGGGCAGTCCGCACAGCCCAGTTCACAGATCCTGAGGGCCACACGAGGTTCAGCACCACCTGACCCCATCCTCGCGGGGTCTCCTTGCCCCATCCTACGTCCCCACTCCCTAGAAGTTCTCTCTCTCCATAAATCCCTGGCCTCCAAATCCCTGTCTCAGGCTCTGCTTTTGGAGAACTTGAACTAAGACACTTCCTACTTGGACATCCCCATTTAAGATCCCACTGTCAACCTCAAACCCCACACACCCCAAACTGTACTCGACGTCGTGCCTCCGAAACTTGCGTCTCTTCCTCCTCCTGGTCCTCTCTGTTAGGGCTACGGCCTCTCGCTCCCCAACCTAAGGGTGTCTTCAGTTCTTCCCTCCCTCTCCAACCCTCTCAACCCCCGGACATCCCTCAAATCCGTCCTCTTCCCTCCAGCCCTTGGCCTAGGACACTGTCATCTCTCACCCTTATCCTTCCAACAACCAGCAGCTCTTGACTAGAAAGATACACAGACTCTGTCCAGGCCGCTGCCCCTTATCAGCCACTTGACCTTGGTCAAGTTACTTCAGCCCTCTGCACCTCAGGTTCCTCATCTATAAAATGGGGGAAGTGGGAGTGTCACTCATAAGATCTGTGAGGACTAAAGTCAGTGAGTAATCCAGTTAAGGTGCTGAGCGCCACACCCGAGGGGCGAGCACTGGCCACTCCCTGGAGCGTCACTGCAGCTACTGCTTGATGACAGTGTTCTGAAGATCAGTGAGAGGTCTCATGTGAGAGAACTGGGTTTTAAGGCCTGGCCCAAAGCTACTTAGTGATTCAGTTTTCTTAGAGTTTTCAGATATGACTAAAGGTAACTAACTTTCTCTTTCCCTGAAGAGAAGTCTTTATTATGTCCTGAGTAAATGCCTTGAGACCCTCAGAATTCTAAAAAAGAATATGCTCCTTTTCACAAATGAGAAAACTGAGGCAGAGTGTGTGCATGTAGGCGTGTGTGTACATATGCGCATATGTACATGTGTGTACATGTGTACCCATGTGTACGTGTGTGCGTGTGTGCATGTCTGTGCATGTGTACATGTGTACCCGTGTGTACACATATATGCATGTGTACATGTCTATGTGTATACCCATGTGTACGTGTGCATGTGTACATGTCTATGTGTGTACCCATGTGTACCTGTGTGCATGTGTACATGTGTGTGTGTGTACGTGTGTACATGTGTGCATGTGTGCATGTGCTCTAGACACACAGCACAGTGGAACATTCAGAGGAGGACAAAAGAGGCCACCCTGAGCCCCGGGCTCCCTTCTTTACCAGGTGTCTCCCCCTGTATTTATGAGCCACAGACATCAGATTTGGTGAGTCCTGTGGAAAAGAGGGAACCAAGAGTTGTCTCCAGGGTAAGGCTCTTTTCTTACCTGATATTACTTTCATTCTGAGACTTGGGGTAATGCTCCCACTTGTCAGCAAAGGTCCTGTTCATGTATGTCCACTGCTGTTGTTCAGGTTTGGGGTACGCCTCGTATTCCACAATCAAATCCACATTTTCTCCATCATTTACAAATACCGTGGTGTTTGTCAGGGGGAAGGTATGAATGAATCCTTTATCTAATTAGAACAGAGCAAGGCAGAAAGAAACTGTCATCCACAACTGCCAAGATAACGGGCTGGTTTCCAGTGTTAACTGGCCGTGACCAGAGGGTCCTCACCAGCCGTTTCACAGTTCCTGCTGCACTTGTAGAATCACTGTCACAAAGTGAGGAAGGGTACACACTTGAAGGACTGATTCTCCCAGCACTGGCTCATAAGCAATTTTCTTAAAGCTCCATCCATATCCTATAAGGAGATCTACTAGTGTTGATGTTTATTAGGTTAAAAAGTATTTGGACTAAACAGCCCACACCCAGACCTATTATAATTGTATTTGAGTTAAGGCGTCAAAGAGTGCCCTAATGCTTAATAAAACCCCAGCAGATGCCTGAATTCACTCCCACCTAGGAGAAAAACTCGTTTCAATTTCAAGTTGCGAGATTCTCTCTGGAGAACGAGGGAGGGGTGGAGGAGGAGGGCCTGCAGTGCTCCCCTCAGTGGGCACAATGTAGGGGTGCATGGAACACCCTCTGGGTGGGGGACACAACTACAAGAGGGACGCAACTAACAAATTCAAATATTGTGGCCTGGCTGTTGTACCCTCACATTAACCTGAACATTAAAAAAAAAATAGATTAAAAATCAATGGCTTTAAGGGAGTTCTAGGAATAAAAATAAATTAACTCTCGAGGTGTTCAAAACACATGTTGGAAGAATGTCCTTTAGTATTTGAAGAAAACAAACTTAGTTGTTCTCAGCATCTTGGGCACCACAGATCCAGCGGAGAAAGCATTTTAACATTCAAGTTGTGTTTTTAACTAAATGGCAGAATTGACTCATAGTAAACTTCTATGGAAGGGGCAACATTTGGGGCCTTTCAGAAGCAACAGAAGAAAAAAATCCTAACCGACAAATTTGAATACACAAACATGGTTAAATGTCTGTATAGTAAAATTAATTAAAGTAACAGGAAAAGAGGACAGTGAAATAGAGGAGGAAAAAAAGTCCAACTAAACTAGTAATTAAAATAAGTTACACTTTACACTTCCTAAAAATAGCAAAACTAATTTTAAATAAACTCAATAATTTTGCAAGTGTGATTTTAAAAAGTAGCACACTGAATTACACACTCTAAACTGGCATGAGTATTTTAGGAAGCACTTAGCAATATAGATTTTTAAAATTTATCTGTTCTTCAAGTGAATCCTGCAATTTCCATATGAGAAATCTTCTTAAAACAAGGTAGATAGCTACATGTCAGAAAAAAAGTGTTTTTTATACTAGTCATAATAATTTTGAAATGAAAGCACTGGTTAAATAATGCAGCCCTTAGAAATGGTTATGTTGGCTCAGCAACTGGTTCAAGCAGCTAAGGCGCCAGCCACATACACCTGAGCTGGCGGGTTCGAATCCAGCCCAGACCCACCAAACAACAATGACAGCTGCAACCAAAAAATAGCCGGGCGTTGTGGTGGGTGCCTGGGGTCCCAGCTACTTGGGAGGCTGAGGCAGGAGACTCGCTTGAGCCCAGGAATTGGAGGTTGCTGTGAGCTGTGATGCCACAGCACTCTACCCAGGGAGACAGCTTGAGGCTCTGTCTCAAAAAAAAAAAAAAAAAAAAAAAAAGAAATGGTTATGTTAGAAAAAAGAGCTTGAAAAATGGGCTATCAATAATCATCAGTCTTGGGGCAGTGCCTAATAAAAATAATATTGATGATGATGATTTTTTTTTTGCAGTTTTTGGCCAGGGCTGGGTTTGAACCCACCACCTCTGGCATATGGGGTCGGTGCCCTACTCACTGAGCCACCCCCATCAATGTTATTTTTATAATCACCGTTTATGGGATAGTATGTGCCAACAACTGCCCTCAGCCCTTTAGCATACATTTCACTTAATACAGTGATTGTGATAAACATTTAATCTTATACTGATATTAAATGTCTCTCAATACTGACAGCCAGAGCTTATAACCTCTAATTTATAAATGAAAACAAACAAGGCCTTAAAAGCTGTCTAGCAGAGCCCAGGTTTGACCACGGAGCTGTGAGGAGCCACGTCCGGTACACCCCAGAGTCTCTACACTCTCGGTGAAAGAGAGTGAGAACATGACCAGAACTGCACATGTAGTCAAACTCTTTAAATAAAGAGTTTAAGCAATATATCAACATCTTACAAATGATTATCATATCAAGTTAGTGGGAATACAAGAGAATTTTATTTTTCTATTTTTTAAATAACTAATTTAATCACAGATTTTAAAATTATGGTTCATTAACTTCAGTGCTACTGGTTAAGTATACTGAAGGTTGTCATTATAGTTTTTACTGCTCTTTAGTTTCGTATAGATTCAGAACTAAAAACATAGTCCAGCTGTCCTCTGTTCACCACAGCAATTAAAAAAGGATTTTTTCAGGTGAGAATGAAAAAAAGCATCCAAACGACAATTAGAGAGAGAAACCACCACTCTGTTTTAATACCTGTATCATAGATGATATATATACCCTCTGACCATTCTTTAAGATAATTTAGGTTAATTTTGAGGAACTGTTTTATTTGAATGCTACATTAAATTTTCAGGTTCTTGAGGTCCTAAACAAATCCAAAATATTAAAATACTGAAACAATATTTGCACAGAAATTATTTCTCACACTAACCATATACAAAATGCTTAAAGTCCTCCTGCGTTTCCTATGGTCTAGTTTGCACAATATAGTGTTATGTCCTATAGTGGAACAGAACTTCAAGTTCATGATGTGTAAGGATTATTAGAACATGGCCAGGGAAAGTGGCCCGAACCTATAATCCCAGCTACTTGAGAGGCTGAGGCAGGAGGATCACTTGAGTCCCGCCTGGGCAACAGAGCAAGACCCTCATTTCTAAAAATATTTTTAAAAATTAGTGGAACACGGTGGCATGTGCCTGTAGCACCAGATACTCAGGAGTCATAGATGGGAAGGTCACTTCAGCCCTGGTTTGGAGTTAGGAGCTCTGATCATACAACTGCCCCCAGATTCTTTTTGTGACATAAAGAATCAAAGAATTCCACTCAGCTTCTCAGGAAAGTTAAATTTTTTCCAAGAACTTCTGCATTAAGAAATTGTGATGCTTTAACATTTACTCAAGTGCAAACACTATGCCTGTCTCATTTCCAAAGCCTGAGGAGTTAGAGGCTGCATTTCTCACAAGAGAAAATATAGGCAGCATTAAATCGGGGTGCATTAGAAAGTTAAGTGGCAGAGCCCCCAACTCCAAACCAGGTCAGATTTTAGCTGCTTTTCCCACAAAAACAAAAAATGAATAACTGTCACATAATGGACATGTTAATTTGCTTTACTATAGTAATCTTCTTACCATATGTGTGTATACCTATAACATTATGTTGTATACCTTGAACATACACCATAAAAAATTTATTAAAAAAAAAACAAAAACAGGCTGGGGTGATCCAAAGCCTGGTCTCCTCTCTGTGTCATGCTGTATCCAAATCCTACTCCCTGCCACTAAAAAATTGGTTTGCTCTTTGTCTCATCCTGTTCCTGTCCCACCTCAACCACTCCTGAAACAATTTGAAGGCAGACTCAGGTTTCACGGCCACAAGTCTTTCCAGTCATACAGTTATAATTCTTGGAAATTGATGAATGGGCTTTAAAAAATCTGATTACATACAACAATATGCTCAAAACATCCTTCCTAATTGCTTTCTGGAGCTAAAGCTGAAGCTGATATATCAACATGCTCCCTAATCAGCTTAGCAAATTAGTGCTTATGGAGTTTAATATTTTAAAAGCATAGCCTTCTATTCAAATTAGTAAATGGTTCACAATCACGTCCAGGGACCTAGTAGTACTCTTTCTGTGTGATGACTCTATAATTGCAAGTTAAGTATCTTTTTCATGTTCAGTCTGGTGAGACACTTTCCATTATAACATGGGCAGAAACACCAAAATTTTATGAGATTATTGTGGGATAAATCACCCGAGCTTTAACACTGCTACATAAATTATTGAAGAAATTTGGGGAGAGAGAAAAGGAGAAATTTAAAAACAAACATTGCATCATTTTCTTGCTGTTCTTGATGAAGAATTTCACCACCCTAGAAAGCCTCAATCAAAGTCAAGCACTAGGGCGACAGCTTCATGACAAAGACGTGAAAATAGATTCAGTTCAAACAATACTGAAAGACAAAAACTTTGTTAATGAAGTATAATAATTCAAAAATAATTATTAGTGTTTTCAGGAAACCAAAAGCATGAAGAAATTCACTATGCTTTGCTCCCTTTTAAGTTGATGCCTGGGACACAAGAATTTAGTAAGATTTGGGACGCAAGGCTAAATAAACCAGTTGGGTGTGTCAGAGATGATGGGGCTGAGGGTTAACCTAGGATGCTCCTGAGAACCAACGACCCGGGCCCTGGTGCACCTGATTCCTGAAGGTTTATGCTATAATCTTTAAGGCTGGAGAACAGGGTAAGGTGAGGAAGTGAAGGTACTGGGGGAGGAGAACCCCAGTTCAGCACTTACTACAAACAAACTCGAGCCAGTGAGCGGTCAAACAGTAAACCAAAAGGCAGAGGGCCCACCAAAGGTTCAGAGAAACACTTGAGGCTCTCTGCAAGGTCCTTCAACCCTGTCTATCTCACGGCACACTTGAGCCTGTAGTTAAACTTCTACAGCACAGTTAAATTATGTTGATCCAAAAAAGAGTAAAAAAAAAAAAAAAAAAAGTACTTACTGTGCTTTGAACCTCTTTTGAAAATGATTTCATTAACGATCTTTAAAAACGTTCACGGCACACTGGTTGAAAATCGCAGCTCTGTGCATTTGCGCTCCCTGATGGAGACGACCTACGTCCATTTCCAAACTCAAGTCACTCAGCAAGGATTAGGATTTTAGAGAAAGCTCAATCTCCGTTTTGCTTTTTGAGAATAACAGGTTTGAAAAACTTCAGTAAGAGCTTTCCACTTTCCCCTACTAAAATAAACTGGTAGAATTTGCTTCTGGGCTCTAGCTTGAAAAAGCTACAATGATTAATTTTCATTCATTCGGTGGTAATGACCTTCTAAGAATCTGTTCCATGTTCCATTTACATAAAAAGGAAACTATCTAGTAATTTCTTCTTTCACAACTGCAGGTAATTTATACATTCCCATAGAGATATTTACCTACTACTTCCAAGGTTGTTGTGACATTTGCCGATCCAAAAGTATTATTGGCATAACACGTGAACACTCCAGAATCGTTAACTCTGGCTGAGCTGACAGTCAGCGTCTCCTGACGCTCGTAATTGAAGTCACCGTGATGCCAGCTATTCTGTTTTACCTGTGCTTTAGTCTGCTAGTTTCAGAAGAAGAGAAAAAAAAATCAAAGATTATCATATAATTTATATTCAGGATCTTTCCTAGATAAATTAAAAATAGCAGCAATTAACTTCTCCATATTGGCTTTCATTATACACTACTTAAGTAAGAATAATAAAACATCATGACAAGTCATTGGAACACTTCATATTACAGGATTATACTGAAAGACAGTCATGACTGGGAAAAATATGAAAGCTCATTTCTTAACCAGTGTAGGTACATGTATTAATTCCAAATTCTCTACAGTGCTAAATTTTAAAAGTTACCTTATACGAAATATGATGGAATCCTGGTATTTTATGAGTCCGCACGTTTATGTCACCTTCTGTTACACTATCTCTTTCTAATTCTGTATCTCAATGATTCAAAGAAAACACATTGTTGATAACAACAATATCCTATGTATTTTATTAAAATTTATTATCTGTGGTAATGAAATTAGAATCACGATGTCTACAAATAACTTGGAAATTCATCTGATAGTTCTTACCCAGCAGAATTCTGGCATCTACTGGAGAGAGTTCCAAGGTATATGAGACATCTAAGACCAAGCCCAAAATTATTACTTAAGTATCAGCTGAAGAGAAAAAGTTGTGAATTTATCCTTGCCATATCAGCAACCCATTCTCACTATTTGTCTGGAGATAAGTCTTGTATTTAAAATGTCACGAGTGGTTCATCGCCTGTGGCTCAGCAGCTAGGACACAGGCCATATACACCAGAGCTGGCGTGTTCGAACCTGGCCTGGGCCTGCCAAACAACAATGACAACTCCAACAACAACAAAAATAGCCGGGCGTCGTGCTGGGCGGCTATAGTCCCAGCTACTTGGGAGGCTGAGGCAAGAGAATCGCCTAAGCCCAAGAGTTTGAAGTTGCTGTGAACCATGACGCCACAGCACTCTACCCAAGGCGACGTAGTGAGGCTCTGTCTCGGAAAAAAAAAGTGTCACGAGGAAACCATGATACGAATTATAGAAGCTCTCTGAAAAGATGAAATACAGCTTTTTACCTCTTTTCAATGTTTTGCAATGTACACACATTGCTATTACAATGAGGGAAAAACAGCTAAAAAAGGAAAACAAGTGGGAGCTGGTATTGACAGGGAATGAGATCACTGGGGTCCACTGGCCTGCCAGTGAGGCACCCGCAGCACCCGGCCGTCTGACGGTGTCAGAACACGCCTTCTGCAAGGCCGGTTGGAAGTGACGTTCATAACCTCTGATCAACTCCAGCAAATTTATCTCAAGGAAATTACTGAACAGAAAACAAAAGCTGCAAGCTGTTGACTACAGTGAAAACTCAGAAATGACCTATACCAGGTATAGGTAGCAATAAGAATTATGACTATGAATTACTTAAAAAGCACAAATTTAGTGTACATTAAAATTGTAACCCTGTGATTATACACACAGGGGAAAAGAGAAAAGAAATATAAAAATAAAAAACCCGCATTCTTTATTACAATGGTAAGGATGAGCCACTTCTGGCTACTGAGCACCTGAAATGTGGTCGCCCAAATCAAGTTTGCTGTAAATGTAAATATGTCTCCAATTTTGAATATTCAATATAAAAAATGAGGTACCTCACAAATAACTTTGATGTTAATTGAATGACGAAATGATAATGTTTTGTATATATTGGATCAAACAAAATATATTATTAAAATGAACTTTACCTTTTCGCTTCTTGTAACATGCTTACCAGAAAACTAAAAATTACATCTTGGGTTCATATTCTTTTTCTGTTATATAGCCTGGGTATCAATAATGGTGGAATTATGCCTAGTTCTCTTCTGTAAATGTTATTTTATTTTTAGGAATATTTTTACATGAGAATAAAAACACACAAAAGTTGACTGTCAAAGTTGAATGTTTTGAAATAAAAAGAAGAGAAATTTGCTTTGCTGTTAATTCACTGTTGAGACCTTGGGTACGTCAAGGACAGCGATAGTCCTGGCTTTTGTTTCTAAAGGGTCTGATGGAACAGAAGCGTCTTTACCGGCTTTTCCAATTTGCAATACTATGCAGATTTGACTCTACCTCTTTCTACAGGATTCTTTTAAGAACTGGCAGAACTCTGCCATTTCACAGCCTAAGATTAATTGTAAAGAGGACACAGGTGAAGTGAGGTTTTTCACATTGCCCTTTCCCGGTTCAGTTTTGCAGGCTTCTCCTTTGTTTTTCTTTTTTAAAATTTAGAATTTTATTTATTTCTTAAAATTTCAAAGTATTGTGGGGGTATAAATATTTTTGGTCACATGGGTCACTTTTATAATGCTTGGCTCCTGGGTACAGCTGTGCCCCTCCTCCTGATAATGTTCATTGCACCGTTAGGTGGGTTTTCACCCAGATGCACAGATAACGTGCCTGACTCTAGGCAGAAACATCTGCCTTCTAGTCTTTCACACACACAAGTGTTCACATAACACCTTAAACAAGAACACTGAACTTGGGTCTGTGCCAGAAGAAAGGGCTTGGGCCTTAACTGATGCGGCAGCAACACCCAAGCCCCAAGACCATAATTTAGGGTACTGTCAGGGATCATAATTAAAAGCAAGTAAGAATGCTAGGGTTTATACGCATTTGAAAAGCTAACCAGATTAACAGCGTTGATAAACCCCAAGACTCTCTTGTATTTGAACAAAAAAATGCAACAACTCTAAAAGGTCATTTTACCCTAATTGTGAATTAAATTTATTCCAAATAGAATCAAATATTATGGAGTTTTAAAATAATTTAATACTACTAACAGTACTCCAAATTAAGTCAAAAGATATCAATAAAAGATTCATGGGGGAAGCCTGGCAGAGGGCCACGAGCCCCATCTGCAAGTCACACATGACATACTGTCTGCACGTGACTTAGTTTTCCTTAACCCTTGGAGGTGCACACTGGGATTTCCCCAAAGGGCTCTCAGCACTGAAGGCTTATCTACCAGCGCCGGTGGATTAATTGGGAATGGCATGCAGGGCTCCTGGGAAAAACAGTTCAGAACAGAACTGCCTGGGGCAATTTAATTTCTCATCTCAAAAAGGCTAATTTTCAAGTTCTACAGAGGCTCAAATGCACACACAGTCTAAATTGTTCTCTCATCTGAAATCAAGGTTTATAGAAAGCCAATTAATATGGGATTGCATTTGGTAAGGTTAGCCAAAATCCATACGTAAACTCTTATTTTTATTACATTATAGGACAGGAAAACTGAAACGTGTTTCTCTGAACCATTGGTTTGAAAGAACAAGTCTACGGTATGATCCATTCTCCTGTCAATGGCAGGCTTCATTTAACAAGCCACCATCCATCACAGGCCCACATCAGCCCTATCAGCTCTTCCCATTAGGGTCAACGCCATGGTTGTTTAGCAAAGAATTTTTTAAACAGGCATGAAATTGCCAATGTTGAGTATGGGTCATGAGGAGGCTTAGAAGGAGCAGGAGAAGGGAGACATAGTATTTCTTTTTCCCAAAGTATTGCGAGCCATGTGCTAGGAAGAACATTTACTGGATGGCCAAGATTTCCCAAATTAAAAAAAAAAAAAAAAAAAAAAATCACTGAAAATTCCGTTAATGGGAATTTTAAAGCAAAATATTAGGGAAATTAAGATAGTTTGAATACCCTGCTATTAATGTGAATATTTAGAGCAGCGGTTCTCAAACTGTGGGTCGCGACCCCTTTGGACTGTATTAAAGGTTTGTGGCATTAGGAAGGTGGAGAACCACTGATTTAGAGAACTGGCTACAATTTATTTAACTTTAAAAACACCCAACTCCATATCTGAGATAAAGTAGGCATTCCATATGCATTGTTAAATGAGTAAGAACCTAAACATGCCAAGTATTTCAGACTGAAGATAATCATTTTATTACTAGCAACTCAAACAAATAGAAACTGTTAGCAATTTAATCTCAGGTGACCAGCTTGAAAAGAGGTCAGATCCACCCCAAAAGCAGCCCCTGTCTCAAATGGACAGGCCATTTTCTGGAAGAGAAGAGCTTTCTGGCTGATATCTGAGTCTGTTCATTTTCTTTATGTATCTTAGAAAAAAATTGACAACTCTTTATAATATTTTAAATGATCAGTACTAATAATAGCTTTAAATCAAGGTATTTACACAATTGGCTTTTTTTTTTTTTTAATTTTCCTGTTAAAGGAAAGAGCATGATAAACATGAATCTGGAATTCTCTCTTCAACTTTCTCAAAATAAATTTATGCCTCTTACAGACATAACAGTAGAGTCACTCCCAGGACAGACTCTTAAAAAAAAAATCCTGGGTGGCACCCGCGGCTCAAAGGAGTAGGGCGTGGGCCACATATAGCAGAGGTGGCAGGTTCAAACCTGGCCCTGGCCAAAAACG